GCTGGCTGTTCCGTCTGTCCCTGCTGGCGGCGGCGGCGACGACGGCGACGACGACGGCGACGACGGCGACGACGACGCCGACGACGACGACGACGACGACGACGACGACGACGACGACGACGACGACGACGACGACGACGACGACGGCGACGGCGGCGGCGGGTTGGCTGGCTGGCTGGCTGGCTGGCTGGCTGGCTGGCTGGCTGGCTGGCTGGCTGGCTGGCCGGCGGGCTGGCTGGCTGGTTGGCTGGCTGGCTGGGAGGCTGGCAGGCAGGCTGGCTGGCCGTTTGGTCGGCTGGCTGGGTGGTTGGCTGGTTGGCTGGTTGGCTGGCTGGCTGGTTGGCTGGTTGGCTGGTTGGCAGCCAACCAGCCGCCAACCAGCCGCCAACCAGCCGAATGGCCGTGGTTGATTCGTGGTTGGTTCTGGTTGGAAATGCGGCCAAAACCCGTGTAAGTGGTGCTCAAAATACACACGTTTTGCCCGCATTCTGGTTGGGTCTCGGTTGGGTTTTGGTTGGGTTTGGGATGAAGTTGCTTTTACACGTTGTAAAGCCTCCCCCTCAATTGCCTGGCATAGCTTGCTTTGCACCGCGTGGCATTGCCTTTGGTTGGCGTTGTTTGGCGCTGCATGGCGTTGCTTTGCATTGCTTGGCGTTGTTTGGCGTTGCTTGGCAACCCTGGGCAACGTCACAGTAAGGAAACAAGACCAAGCAACTCTGGGCAACGTCACTGTGGGGAAGAACGGCCAGGGAACCCCGAGGAACGCCACTGTAGGGAGACAAGACCCCGAGGAATTTAGGGCAGGCCTCGCACCCACCAGTCATTCAAAAACGAATCAGAACCCTACTTCGGGAACTGTAGCATCTAAGCACTTGCATAAACATCATTTGCGGATCTCCGAAAGATTATGCTTATTCAGATTCTCTCCTTAGAGCCTAGACACCCGATGCTAGATTTTTCCACAGAGGGTCCCCAGAAGTCCAGACCCTCTCCCCTGGTCTGTTTTTTCGTCCTCAGTTGTCCTTTCACAGTCCTGGGGGCCCGCGAGGGCCCCTGCTCCACTCCGCCCCTCCCCCCCGCCGCCTCCGCTGCCGCCACCGCCCCCTCCCTCGAGCTGACCTGGTGCGGCCGTTGCTGGACGTGCAGTGCCTGACGACGGCCCGCACCAGTTGTCCGTTCCGCCGTTCTTGTGCTGCTTGCTTGCTTCGTCCAGCTCTCCTCCGTCCCCTTGCCGCGCACTGCGCCTGTCCGTTTTGTCATACGCTCGGCGCAATGCCAGGGTCCGGCGATCACGAGCGATTGCCGGTGGACCTACCCCTTGCCCTCGCGCTTGTCTCCTCCTCCCCCGCCTTTCCCCCCCCATCCCTTTTCCCTAGTTATACGTGACCTATCCTTGTCGCACCCCAGGACGTGTCGGTAGGGCGGGCCTGGCGTTTTCGCTTGAGACGTCCTCATCTTTAGGGGGCCACGTGCGAACCCTACCCCTACCCCCCACGATTTCCGAGGGGGAGGGTGGGGTTCACTTCGTCCGAGAGCTCCCGAACGAAGTGAACCCCACCCCCTCAGAAATCGTGGGGAGCCCCTCGCTCGCGCGCCGCGCACAGTCTCGTTGAATCGACGGAAGCAGGCTCGTGGGAGGAGGGCGGCTCGTTTTCAATCTACGGCTCTCGCCATGAGCCCGTTTCTTTATTGCTTGGGGCATGACGGGCGTCATGGCCCCCGCTCCCCCCCTCCCCCCCCCCTATGACGTAACGCTCCCCCCTCCAGTGCGCCCCCAGTGCGCTCCCCCCCGAATGTGCGCGGAACGATGATCGTTCCGCGCACATTCGTCTTAAACGCTTGTAGCAATTTCGCGGATGAAGGGCGGGCCGTTTTCAAAATGTGACTCTCTCTCTCTCTCTTTCTCTCTTGAGCACTGCGCACATTCGTCTCACAAGTTTGTAGATATTCCGCGGATGGAAGACGGTTCCTTTTCAACATGTGGTTCTCGCTTTAGCGCCGCGCACATTCGTACTACACGTTTGCGACAGTTTCAAGGGTTCGTATGGGTTAAGTCCCAGGAGTGATTTGCTGGCACGATTTCGGATTGTTGTCGAGGCCCTAGATTCCTCGCGCTTCGCTGGGTGCACGTCCAGAGTACGTACAGTGAAATCGCTTTCTTTGGGGGTCCTGGCAGCCTCATGGGGGCTTCTTGGGCCGTATTGGAGCGCTTTTGTGCCGTATGGCACTTTGGGAAGCCGGGCAGGTGGTCATCTCGGGGCGGCGTTGGGGTCCTCTTGGGGTCATCTTGGGCGGTCTTGGGGGCCGCTTAGACCTTTTTGGGAATCTCTTTAAGCCGTCGTTGGGCTCCTTGGGTTGCTTTTTGGGCTGTCTGTTGGGGCCGTCTTAGGGCCATTTTGGAGTCTGCTTCGGCCGTCATGGTCTTCGAGAGTCACAAAATGCGAGAGCGCTAGATCTTTCAGTGACCCCGGCGACGAGAATCCTCCTCCTCCTCCTCCTCCTCCTCCTCCTCCTCCTCCTCCTCCTCCTCCTCCTCCTACTACTCCATTGTCTTTCCTTATAAATGATTTGTCCCTGTCGCACCCCGAGGCCAGTTTTTGAAGCGGGCCGGGCGTGTCGCCTGAGACTTCCACACAATTTATGATTCTGAAGCTCAAAGAGGCAACCGTTTCACAGATTGAGGGCGGGTCGCGGTCAAAATGTGGTTATCGCCTGAGCGCCGCGCACATTCGTTTCAAATATTTGTAGAAGTTTCACGGGTGGAGGGCGGGTGGTTTTCAAAATGTGGTTCTCGCATTCGAGCCGCACACATTCGTTTTAAACATTTGCAAGAGCTTCACGGATTGAGGGCGGCTCTTTTTCAAAGTGTGGTTCTCGCCTTAGCGCCGAGCACGTTCGTTCATACAAATTGAAAGAATATCACGGGTTCCCATGATCAACTTACCAGAAATTGCGTTTTGGAAGGATTCTGGATTATGCGGGTGCAGCAGTTATGCTGATTCGCGGTGTTGAAATCCCCAAAGATGGCCTGGCACGATTCCGGATCGTCAAGACGCAGCAGTCAGATTGATCCGTGGCGTTGACATCCCGAGAACAATGTTTTGGCATTCTTCAGGGTCTTCCAGGGTGTCTTCCAACGAGGCAGTTCCCCCTATGGAAAAGAACCGCTGTAGGGGCTTATGAAGGGGGAACTTGGAGGGAGGGGGAGGGTTGACTCCAACATCGTTGATGATTCTTTGGTTTACACTGGTCCTCCTCCTCCTCCTCCTCCTCCTCCTCCTCCTCCTCCTCCTCCTCCTCTGGCGTTGCTCCGCCTCGCGTGCGCCCTGCCGCCCCCAAGTGGGCGAGCACCCCCCCAGGGTTCGGGCAGTATCTCGTCGCTGGTTTCTGTCCGCCCCTGGGCCCGAGGAGGAGGAGGAGGAGGAGGAGGAGGATGAGGAGGAGGAGGAGGAGGAGGAGGAGGACCAGTGTAAACCAAAGAATCATCAACGATGTTGGGGCCCGAGAGCGGTCCCCGGGGAGTCCCAGACCTCGGGCGCCTCGAAAAAATCGAGACAGAGGTTTTGCTTTGCTTTTCGCCTCTCGCGTCTCGAAAAAATCGAGACCGACATTTTTCTTTGTTTTTGGCCTCTCGGAGCCCTCGCCGGGCCTGGGGACCGTCAAAAAACGACTCGGAATGAAAAACCGGTCGCAGGGCAGTGGTCGGGAGGTCTGGGGCCCGCGTCTCGAAAAAATCGACGGATGTCTGGGGTGACCTAGGCGCGGTCTCAGCGAGCAGCTTTGGTCGATGGCCCACAATTTCTAGGCGAGTCCTCGAACTCTGGAGCCCCACGCGGTGGACGGTCCTGGGGGCCCAGCGAGTTCCCCCAGAGGCCGCAACGGCGGAGGCGCTTCCGCACTGCTTTTTGTTTCTGCGTCTGGATGCCTGGGGGTCCTGTGTGTTCCCAGACATCCGACGTCTCGATTTTTCCGAGACGCAGCCCCCAACCTCCCGACCACTTCCCTGGGACCGGTTTTTCATCCCGAGTCGTTTTTTGACGGCCCCGAGGCCCGGCGAGGGCCCCGAGAGGCCAAAAACTGCGCAAAACCTCTGTCTCGATTTTTTCGAGACGCCCGATGTCTGGGTTCGTTCAGCGGCTTCTTCGCCCTCGAGGACCTCTACCTGCACGACCCCTCGGCAGTGGACGGCGAGCTCGTCGAGGCGTTCGTGGCGCCCGGGCGGACGCCGGGCTCGGTGGAGGTGCTCAGGCAGATCTACACCGGGCCGCCGGGCCGCACCCCCATGGAGGCGCCGGGGCGGCGCCGCGTGCGGTCGGGCCCGGAGCCTCTGCGGGGAGGGTGCCCTGATGTCTGTCGTGCTTCCCCGGCGAGGTCCAGCGCATCGAAAACATCAAGACGGAGGTTTTTCGCAAGCTTCGGCCCCCAGGGGCCCTCGCCGGGCCTCGGGGCCGTCAGAAAACGACTCGGGATGATAAAGCGGTCCTGGGGAATGACGTCGAGACTTCCGGGGACCCCGTATTAAAAAAAAACGCGACGTCGGATCTCTGGGCTGTGGGATGTTCTTGTGCACCCAGGGGAGGGTACCCTCGGATGTTCTGCGTGTTTTGGCCTGCGGAGGGCTTCGTGTTCTCGAGAGAGGTTCTCCTGGCCCAGGTTCGACGGTAGCCCTTTATATCGGGGCGGCGAGTCGCGACAGAGATCCGCGGTGCCCTGACTTCCGTACAGTCGGGGCCCCGAAGAAGGAACCCTTTCCGTTGGGGAGGGGTTCGGTGTTCCTCGATTGCGGTATTCAGTTTGCCTGGGGTCTTCCTGTCGTTCTCCATGGGGAAATCAAAGCTTAACCTATGGGAGCAAGGGGCCTCGCTCCTTATTCAGAGTTCCTTTGGTCAACGCTCGGGGGTGGACAGAACCCCCAACAGTGACACGTCGATTAGTGAATTATCCATTTTCGGTTCTCGAGAGGGCGCCGTGGCCGTTATTTTCCAGGCTTGCGCCCGCCAGGTTTGGGCCTCAGGTCGTTTTCATTAAACCTCCCCGAAGGGGACGCCCCGAAGGTCAACGCCCCGACTGTAGCCGTTTTGGCTCGAGGCGGTGCGGCACGAGGGCGCCAGAGCGCTCGCGCAGGGCGGCCCACGTGCGGAGCGGGCGGGCGGCGCGGTTCTGTCGAGGGCTCGCGTGCGCCGACGTCCCAAGTCTTAGGTCGGGCCTGTCCCCCTACAGGGGGATTTTCGACGAAGAATTAAACATACCCCAAAAATAATCAAAAAATAGTCCAAAGATAGTCCGCCTGAAATGTGCTAGTTCGAGCGACGGGCCGTTTCGACCTCGAGGGATCTTTGCATGCAGCCCGCCCGCTTGCCCTGCCAGGTGACGTGTCGCCATGCGAATCTGGGTTTCGTGTGGCGTCTGTGGCTTGCCTGCCTACCTTTGACTGGCGCTGCGGTGGCAACGCGGTGGCAGGGGACAATTTTTTGAATATGTTTTTTACCTTTGGGGGGCATTTTTGGTGTATTTTTTACTTTTCGTCGAAAATCCCCCTGTAGGGGGACACGCCCGACATAACCCAAGTCCGTGATCTGCAGGCGCGCTGAGTCATCGACGGGTCGAGGTCATGTTCGCGATGGTTCCTCAGTCATTGAGCACCGTGCTGGGGCTGGGCGGTTTGGCCTCCGGCGGCCTGTACAGCTGGGCGTCCGGGCTCTACAGCTACAACCGGGACGCCTGGATGAACGACATGGCCTTGCGGCAGACTCGTCGGTACCAGCAGGAGAATTTGAACATTGCATCGGAGACAATGCACCGTGAGGACGTCCGCGATTTGGTCCAGTCAAAGATAACGGTCCTCAACAACTTCATTCTTCTGCAGACGTTGATCTTGGGGTTGGCAGTGTCTCTGCTTCTTGACTCCGTGAACTTGCCCGAGCAGACCGCAGCTTACGTGGTTAACGCTTATATCATATGTTTGGCGAGTTCGCTGCTCCTGCTAGTGATAGCTATCATCACTGCGGTAATGGCAGCCCATTTGGCCAATAACCACGCTGCCGAGCTCTTGCTGACCCAGGTGAGACCAGCCTGGTCAAGGTACAGATCAAAAATCGAGAGGTGGTCCCGGGATGAAGGCACGCGCGCGTTCGATCGGCAGAGTGTGGCGGACATGTTCCGCCCGCCGCTTTCCGTGATCTTCAGGTTTAAGCCTCCACCCAGCCGAGCAGGCTGCCTGGCCGGCTTTGCCAAGCAGGAGAAGAAGAGAGGAGGAAAGAAACATGGTTCTGATTGCGGAGGCGGTAAGCCAGAGAAGCTCGGGTACCAGTCCGTGCTTCTGGAAGACACCCTCGCCCAGGGCGACGACTCCTCTCTGCAGATAGAGGACCAGCGCCACCAGGACCATTGGTTGGAAGAGTTCTGGTATCCATGTGAAGACACGTGGAAGCCATTCAGCAATTGTTCCAATAGCGCTTTATATTTCGGAACAAAAAACCTGAGTCAAGCTCTTTGCTACGTATGCATCGCCAAGGTCTGGGGCCTCCACAGCAACGCGTGGTGTTTGTGGGCGGTGGTTCTTGCCTTCATTGTGATTAATGTTACACTCTCGGAGCTTGGGAACTGGTCGCGCCCTGTTGTTGGTGACCGCGTCAAAATCTCGATGGACAGCCAGGAGGGTGTAATATGCCAGGACTTCAAGGATTACCACCCCTTCAAGATCATGTACGACGACGGTTCTTTGGCAACGTGCCGGGACAACCTGCATCCACAACGATTTCGCGAAGATCAGGTGCAGAAGGTGAATCGCAACATCTGGCTTTGGAACTTGGACGGGGTCGCCCCGGTCTTCTGTACCATTGCGGTCATGGCTGGCAGGGGAGAGCAGTGGCTGCAGATGGCCACCCGCTCGTCGTGGATCATTGCCAAGTGGATCGCGCGCTTATGCATTCCGACCTGCTACATGTTGCACCTGCTCTCGAAGTTTCACTTCGTGAGGACAAACAACAGGGCGTACCGCAAGCGGGAGGACACCCACGACATATTGAACAAGGAAGCCAGGCTGTCCCACGTTGATGACTGTGCTGCTTGCCAATTCGACACACGCGGCAAAACTCCGCTTCACTGCGCGTGTGACACTGGTAACGTGGAGGTCGCTCGCTTCCTTTTGAACAACTTCCCGCGCGCTGCCAAGCTAGACGATTCGAGGCAGTTGGCGACGCCGTTGCACTTGGCTGCTGCCAGTAGCTCTCGAGATATCGTGGAGCTGCTGTTAAACGACCTCGACAATGAGGAGGTGGGCGTCGCCCTCAGCGCTGTGGATTCAGAGGGGCGGACGCCCTTGCATGTCGCTTGCTCGGCTGGAGATCCGCAAGTACTAGAGGAGCTGTTGAAGCGCATGGATGGCTGTGCTGAGCAGCGCACGCGCGCCCTGGCTCTCAGAGACAGCTCTGGCCAGACGCCTCTGTGCGCTGCTTGCTCCAGTGGTCACGGCAAGGCTGCCCAGCAGGTTCTGGTGTATAGTCGTGGCCCTGAGAGCCTTCGTAAAGCCGCGCGCCGTTTGGATGGCTACAAGCGGGCACCGTTGCACTACGCATGTGACCACGGCCTGGTGGAGGCAATACTTTGGCTGATGGAATGCTACGATTCCCAGGCAGAGGCATTGAATCATATGGATGGCGCAAACCAGACCCCGCTGCACATAGCTAGCGAGCGCGGACACTTGGACATCTTACAGGTGCTTTGCGGCCAGAGGGGGCCAGAGGACTGCACGGAGCCTCCTGAGTGGAATCGGAAGGCGATGTGCGAACGGGAGGCTGGCAAGAATTCCCGCATCGCGAGCAGGTTGATCTCTTCTGGAGGTGGAATGATTATTTAATCGCTTCGCTCATTCCGCCGGCCCTGGAGCGCTATTTGGGGCCTCTTGGGACCGTCTTGGGGGCTTCTTGGGGGCTTCTCGGGAGCGTCTTGGGGCTCCTTGGCGGCGTATTGGGCTCCCCTGAGGCCTCTTAGGGGGCTCTTGGGGGCCCCTTGGGGCGGGAGGGGGGGTAGTCGATCGCGAGCAGGTTGATCTCCTCTGGAGGTGGAATGATTATTGAATCGCTCCGCTCACTCCGCCGGCCCATATTTGTATCACTGGTGCTATATGTTGGTGTGCTCGTGGCGAGCGAGGAGGAGGAGGAGGAGGAGGAGGAGGAGGAGGAGGAGGAGGAGGAGGAGGAGGAGGGGAAGGGGAAGGGGGGGATGGAGGATGTGGAGGCCTCCGGGAGGCATTTTTGCTGCCTCTGGGAAACATTTTCGCGGCCCCCAGTGAACCTTTGGGAACGCTTCGGGGGCCTCGTGGGGCCCTTGAGGGCCTTTTGAGGCCTCTCGAGGCCTCCAGGGGACTTTTCTTGGGGTTGCCTGGGAGCTCCTAGAGGCGTCTTGGGAGCGTCTTGGGAGCCTCTTGGAGGCACCCTGGGGGGCATCTTGGGGGGCCTCCTTGGGGGCCTCGTGGGGGCCTTCTTGGGGGCCTTCTGGGGGCTTTCTTGGGGGCCTCTTGGCATCTTCGGGGCCTCTCGGGGCCCTCTTCGGGCGCTGCCTGTGCCGTCTTGGGGCGCTCCCGGGTGCCTGCCTCTCGGGCCACCCTAGACGCAGAAGGCGAGCGTGCCAAACCTGTGCATATTGTCCGCCGGGGTGGGTTGATTTTTGCTCCTCGAGGCCCTGTTGAGGAGGAGGAGGAGGAGGAGGAGGAGGAGGAGGAGGAGGAGGAGGAGGAGGAGGAGGAGGAGGAGGAGGAGGGAGGAGGAGGAGGAGGAGGAGGAGGAGGAGAGGAGGAGGAGGAGGAGGAGGAGGAGGGAGGAGGGAGAGGAGGAGGAGGAGGAGGGAGGGAGGGAGGAGGAGAGGAGGAGGGAGGAGGGAGGAGGGAGGAGGCCCTCTTGGGTCTGTCTGGGACCATCCTCGGGCATCATTGGGGCATCTTGGGATGCTGTTCAGGCCATCGTGAGGCCTACCACCCATTGATCCCGACTCATGGGCTCTCGTGGAGCTCCCCTGGAGTCGCTTGGGGCTCTCCTGGGGCGGTCTTGGGGGCGCCGAAACTGCTCCCGAGAGGTCCAGCATCCCTGACGGGACCTTTCCTGGACCTTGCAGGGCATCGCCTGGGGTATTTATCGTCCTCGCTTCACTCCTCTTTCCCCCTGCCTGGGTCCAGAGCGATACTGTATTTCCGCTGTTCAGAGCTGTGCCCGGCTTCAGTTGCGTGCTATATATATATAGATGGTATGTTGACCATCGGGGTTGTGCACACAACGCGTCTGTTCAGGTCCC